TGTACCCCCGTGCCCTGCTCAAAAGAGCATGTTTATAAAATTTCATTCATGCAGACATTTATTCAACCAATAGTTATTAGGCTCCACATTATTCAATAATTTAGATTTATGGGTTCTGGAAGGATTACATGTGGTAACATTTAAGCTAAGAGTTTAAGATAAAGTCAAATTCAGCCAGATGCACACAAAGGGAATGCACATTCCAGATGGAAGGGAAGGAATGAAGACGTTGAGATGCAAAAGGTCAAGACAAGTAGAAGACTTCACTCACACAGCCAAGAGACAGAGTCCTCACAGCCAGCATTGGACTTGCTACCTTGCGTGGGCATCTTTCCKTTTCAGATGCAACATGTGATCCTTTATTCTGCACAAACACAATACATCCTATGTGCACAACATATGACACCTGGTCAGCCTCATTGCTCTATCTGCTCCTTGTGGGGAGTGGATAAGGTTACTATAGCATGAGACTGTCCCTACCAATATCCTGTGTCAGCTCTAGGAGGAGCTGTGGGGGTTTGACGCCCCCTATTGGAACTACACTTGCTGTCTCTTCTCTGTGTGAGTGAAGTCTTCTACTTGTCTTCATGTTTTCCTGGTGATTCCAATACTGAGATGTAGTGAGTGGAGATACTCAGGTTTCTACCACCAGGAGGTGAGAGGCCACAGATGCCATCTCTATGACTTTAATTCTATGTTTTTGCACTTACATTGAGCTATCATTTACATAGAGTAAGATGCACAATTTTCACTTCAATAAATTCTAAATATTCATTCATCCGTTTAACCAACATCCATCCAAGACAGAGAATCTTTCTGAAAAAATCTCAAAAGACTCCCTCTGTTCCCTTTCAGGCTCTACTTCCCTAAAAGTAACCTCTACTCAGCCTACAACATCTTCACTTGGCTTTGCCTGTTTTTTGAACTTTGTTTCACTGGAATCAYACAATATGATTCTGGCATTTTGGTCTTAGATTTTTTCTGTAAGATTTATTCATATTGTGTATAGCAATTGTACAAAAGATTGCTATTCTGCATGGGCTTCTGGAGCTAGCAGGCTGCACATGCACTAAAGGGCTCTATGTAAGAACAAATCCTCCTCATACTGCATCATATTTGTAAGGTAGTATGAGAACCTTGGATACTCTAGCTTCTCAAGTAAGAATGAATATGTCAATCATTTCCTGGCTTGGAACAGTATCCGTGGTTCTGCAAACTGAGGGCCAACATCTGCACACTGAGGACCAAAGGTCTAGATGCTATTAGCAAAATGGAAATCAAACAAGCCATAAGAACCATCCAGATATGTCCCTTGTTAGCTACAATTCATACTAATTTTTTATAGTAGCACATTTGCACTCTCACCAGTTTAAGTACAGCATTTACTTTACATCCTGTCACTACTTGGTAATGTCAGTCCTTTAAATTCTGGTTTTAATTTGTAGCTACCCAATGATTAATGATGTTAAGTTCATTTTTATGTTTAATGCCCAGTTGAATGTTTTTAAAACTTCTTTACACTTCAGATTCACAGCAAAATTGTGCTTAAGGTCTGGGGCATTGCCATATCCCTCCCACTTCTGCTCCTGCACAGCCAACCCCATTACCAACACCCTCCACTGTGGTACATTCTTACAGCTAATGAGCCTGCACTGACATATCACTACTGTCCAGAGCCCCAGTTCATATCAAAGTTCACTGTTGGTATTGGACATTCAATGGGTCTGGACAATTATGCAGTGACATGTATTYACCACACACGCCCCACCTATTTATCTGTCTCTTCCCTCTCCCCTCTTGCCAACCACTCATTATTCCTGTTTTTCCTTTCCTTTTCCTTTTGTTTGAATCAGACAGTATGCAGTCTTTTCCTTGACTTTTTTTCACTTGGCGCTGTGCATCTATTTTTGTAGCTTAATAGCTCATTTCTTTATAGCACTGAATAATTAATATTCCATTATCTGAATATACCATTTATTCTTTCACCTTTATGAAAATAAAAAKAATTCTGAGCTAAGATTTACATTTGGGAGTCTAAAACATGTCACTGATAAGGTAAAAAATGTGTGACAATTGTAAAGCATAAAATTATTTGTCATGATATTTAAATGCACACAAATATATGATCAAATCCATTCTGTACAATGCATAAGTACATGGTTAGGGCTGCAAAAGCATCCAGTTTTGGGTCAAGGAAGAGATATAGCTGAAATGAAAAAAAAATTTAAAAAGGCAAAACCAATGTCAAGGGATTCAGCATACCTCAACCCACAAGGGAGCCTCCACTATGGTAAGGTCCAACATATGGGACTGACCCACCTGAGGAAATGTTTTATTCCTCATAAAGCATCCTCAAGGGAATGGACAGAAGGACAAATGTCACCTGAAAACTACCCTAGGCATGCTCTGTTGGCAAAATTACAGCCATCTTCCTTTCCTCACCCCCACTTTATGAATGCTGTTCTTTTTCTCAAGAAATAGAAACTTGACTGAGATAAAAACTTACTGGTCTCTCCTTGAGAGAGAAAAGATATGCCCATGTCTGTTCCCAATGAACAGAAACTTGCTGCAAATTCAGGTGATGCTTGCTATGCCAGTCACAAGGGCTAAGCCCGCCCCTAATGCGCGGCCATGATTCTAGACTATAAAACGTAATGCTCAAGGGGGAGATGTTGTTGCTCTCCCTGTCCTGCCGCTGTCCCTCTTTCTGCAGAGCAACTTTTCAGGGGCCTAATAATAAATCTGCTTACGCCCCTGTCCTTGGAATGTGGCTGTGTGATCAGTCCTGCACCTGTTTTCTTTCATGCCCCAGTTGTCTGCTAACATGCCTGAGCTTCCAGAAAGGCACTGTAAGAAAATAACTTCCCTTCCTTCCTCCCTTATTCTCTGGACAATATGAGTATGGAAGACAATCTCATAAACCACCTCTGCTTTGTCCGAATGGGAGCTGGCAATGGTTTGTCTAGAATCAAATAATCGAATATTCTGGAGACTAAGAATTTTAGTTTACAAAAAAGTGTTAAAATCTGTTAGCTTTCAAGTTTAGAACGAACATACCTAAATTCTTACCTTTAGGGTCAGAAGTAGGTATATTCCAGGAGGATACTATTCTTCATAAAAAGGCAGTGGTTCAAAGGAGTTAAGTCATTTATGCTTATATGTGCTGCAGTGGCACACTAGTAACAGYAATATCTGACACTTGCTAGTACTTACAAAGCACCAGGTAGCAGTTTAAGACTGCATTGTCCAATTTAGTAGCTACTCCTTATATGCAGCTATAAAGTAATCACATTCAAGGAGTCTAAAACTTCCTAAAAAATAAAACTAAAGAACTATTTGAAATTTATGGCATTTATCATATTTAAGATACTATAGACAGGGGCTGGGGATGTGGCTCAAGCGGTAGCGCACTTGCCTGGCATGTGTGCGGCCTAGGTTCGATCCTCAGCACCACATACAAATAAAGATGTTGTGTCCGCCGAAAACTAAATATTAAAAAATTTTCTCTCTCTCATTAAAAAAAGAAAAGATACTATAGACAGGGCTGCAGTTGTAGCTCAGTGGTGGAATGCTTGCCTAGCATGTGTGAGGCACTGGGTTCAATCCTTAGCACCACATAAAATAAAGGCATTGTGTCCATCTATAACTAAAAATATTTAAAAAAAAAAGATACTATAGATGGAGTTRGATGCAGTGGCGCAGGCCGGTAATCCCAGTGGCTCAGGAGGCAAAGGCAGGAGGATGGCGAATTCAAAGCCAGCCTCAGCAACTTAGCAAAACTGACTCCAATAAAAAATAAAAAGGCCAGGGGATTTTACTCAATGGTTAAGCAATCCTGTGTTCAATCCCTGGTACCAAAAGAAATAGAGGTCTAACCTATTATTTTATTAATACTTGACAAACTAGACAACCGTATTAAAATGTGGTAACTGTTTATTGTGTTTGCTTCTCAATAAAATACTTGTAACACAGTCTTAAGTTATAAGTTAATTGTTCAGGATTAACAAGAAATTGAATTGTAAAACATTTAGCTTTGTTAAGAAATAATTTTTTTATTATTATACAGCATTTAAAGATAATAAAACTATTTTTAAGATTTCAAATTTGAGAAATCTATGGCAAGTTTTAAAAAGTGCATGAATCAAGGTACATTTTTAACATACACCCATTGCATGATCTGAATCTATGCAGATTTTTCACGCTATTCTTCCCCTACTAAAGATATAGAACCGTGGTTCTTACCAAGACGCAACTTTGCCCCCTAGTGGATATTGGTGTAATTCTGGTTGTCATGACATTTAGTGTGTAGAGCCCAGAGATGCTGCTTAATGCCACAACAAAGAACTATCCAGAACAAATGTCCATAGTGCCTATAGTTTTCTTAACCCTATAATGTATGACTCAATTCCCAACAGAGAGTAAGAAATTTTCACTGTAAAAACTTTGCAAAGTTGTAAATACTTTTTAAAAGAAAATTTATTAAAAAAAATCATTACCAAAAGTTGACAGTTAAGTATCAAAACGATACTTTCAGAAAGGCTGAATCACAGAATCAACTTAGAATGACAGAAATTAGGATATACAGTTGGCCCTCCACATCTGTGTTACATATCCAAAGATTCAATCAACTGTAGATTAAAAATATTTGGGAAAAAAATCACATGTGTATTAAACGTTTCCTTGTCATTGAACAACTATTTATGTAGCATTTACATTATTAAATAATCCAGAGATTTTTAAAGTGTAAGGGACGATGAGTGTAGATCATAGGCAAACTAAAGGTTTTGGTATGAAGGAAGTCCCCAAACAAAAYCTGTGTGGATACCCAGAGGTGGCTGTGCACAGGTTTCCCTTAAACCTGCTCTGACAGTTTAATATGTTAATAAGGAATGATTTAAAGGATCTAAGCAAACAGTTTTCTTTGCTCATTTTTCTGGACTGTGATACAAATTCATTTATATACAAAGCACCAGGCCAACAGCAAGCCGAGTGTTCTGAAAATATTTTTCAAAATATAAAAAAAATGAAGAACTTTACTATTTCTTCAATTTGTCATAACTGTGTATTTGGACAGTTCACGTTTTATTTGTTCTCTCATTTTACAATTCTCTCATAAATGTTTTTTACAAATAACAGTGCATGTAGATGGGGTGTGTAGCAAAATTATATGCCAACTGAATTTTTTCCCCCACACAAACTCTGGTTGTAATGTATCCAAATATCATAAAAGTTGTCCTAATGGGGAATCCAATTTTAAAACAACAATAAAACCATCCTAAGTTTACTAGGTAAGGAAATTTTTCAATAATCATTCATTTACACATTCACAGTCTATGTATTTTCTCATGGTCAACAAACTGATTCAAACGATTCAGGTTATCCCACCATTTAAAGAGAAATGTGTCCACAATAATTTGAAACCATGGAGTAACCTTAATTTCACCACTGGCTGCTTTTTTCATAAGTTCTTTTAGTTCTTCCTTGGACACATAAAAATGGCTTTTAATTTCATTGGGATCTGGATTCAAAGTTACATTCTTCTTCATAAACAAAATATAATCAATTTCATGTTCACCCCAGATACCATCAGATTGTGCCTTGTAGTGAATTCGTGTTAGATAATTCATTTCTTCTGGAGGAACCTAGGATGTAAAAAGAAATATTAAAACCTCAACAAGAAGTAATCCAAAATTAACTCACCACATTTCATCAATATCTTGAACAGCAGTACAGTTGTAGCATTAGAACTTCTAAAGTATTATTCTCTTATTGAGGATAAATGGAAAAATTATTACATTGTTTCATGTTTTAATTTTTTTTTTCATAGAACCAAACATAGTTGAATTTTTTTTCAAAAAATTTTAGAAACATCACAATTCATTCCAATGTTATGTGTAACACACCAATTGGGAGGCAAAGACAGGAAGAACACACCAGCCTTAGAGATTTAACAAGGCCCTCAGCAACTTAGACCCTGTCTCAAAAAATTAAAAGGGCTGGGGATGGAGCTCAGTGGTAAAGCACCCCTGGGTTCAATCCCAGTACCTCCCCGCCCTAAAAATGGCTGGGGCTCAGTGGTAGAGTACCAGCCTTGCACATGTGAGGCACTGGGTTCGATCCTCAGCACCACATAAAAATAAACAAATAAAGGTATTGTTTAAAAAAAAAAAAAAAAAGAGGAAGTCCAATAGAGAAAAGGAAGAGGATGAGGGAGAGGGAAGGGGAGGGAATAGTACTAGACATTCTAATACAGAAAAATATTATTTGCATCTATGAATATGTCAAAATGAACCCCACTATTACGTATAACCACAATGYACTAAAAATAAAATTACTTAAAAAAACAGTAGTTAAACTAGAAATATAACATTCATGTTTTAGAATTWCTTTTGGAGAAAAAATTTACCATTTTAACTAGATGAGATACTCATACTCTTTATTTACCTAGGTGTTGTTAAGTAGAATGGGGTCTAAATTAACTAAAATATATTCYACACTTGTATAATTACATCAAAATGGATCTTACTGTCAAGTATAACTAAAAAGAACCAGTAAAAAAAAAAAAAATACATAGGACAACAGCAGGGGTAAAAAGGGTTTTTTCATTGCTTTTGTTTTTGGAACTAGGGATTGAACCTGGGTACTATACCACTGAGCTACACCCCCAGTCCCTTTTTTGAAAAATTGAGACAGTCCTGCTAAGTTGCCATGGTTGGCCTTGAACTTGTGATCCTCTTGCCTTTACATCCTGAATAGCTGGAATTATAGGTGTGTACCACCGTGCCTGMAAACTGAATTATTTCAATTTGCACAACCAGATTTGTAGTTCAAGATTCTACAATTTCCACAAGAAAATAGCCACTATGGGGAGAGGGGTACTGGGATTGAACCCAGGGGTGCTTTACCACTGAGCTCCACCCCCAGCCCTTTTAATTTTTTGAGACAGGGTCTCGCTAAGTTGCTTAGGGCCTTGCTAAATCTCTAAGGCTGGTGTGCTCTTCCTGACTTAACCTCCCAAGTTGCTAGGATTGCAGGCATGTGCCACCATACCTGGCTCCATCATTTTTTTTTAATATTTATTTTTTAGTTGTAGTTGGACACAACACCTTTATTTCACTTATTATTATTTTTTTTATGAGGTGCTGAGGATCGAACCCAGGGTCTCACACGTGCAGTAGAACTGCTGAGCCACAACCCCAGCCCCTCCATCATTGTTTTGACCAATTAGTCAATTTTAYAGACCGATTAATAAATCAACTGATTTCAGTACTGAGTGAAATTCTGAGAAGTGATATTAAGAAATCAAAATTTAAATAATGTTCTTTATTCAAGGTGCCTTCTGAGTATAATTATAATTCAAGTTACACAGCACAGCCCTCACACTTGAATTTAAAAATTGTGTTGGGTTGGAAGAGTAGTTCAGTGGTAGAGCACTTGCCTAGTATGTGCAAGGTCCCAGGTCCAGTCCCCAGTGATGCCAAAAGAAATTTTTTTTTTTTTAAGTTGCAGGTGGACACAATATCCCCGTTTTATTCCTTCATTTTTGTATGTGGTGCTGAGGATCGAACTCAGTGCCTCACGCATGTAAGGCAAGTGCTCAGCCACTGAGCTACAACCCCAGCCCCCCAAAGAATTTCTAACATATATTTTTTAAAAATGTCTTACTATACACTTATTTTTCAGCTTATATAACTGCTCAATAAAGTTGGTTACCTCTTCCAAAGGAATTCCTAATTCAGCTTTCAAACGCCTCTGTGCTGCTCGCCTTACACCAATGGCACCATTTTCTTCCAGCTCCCTTGGATTACTTAATGGATGACTACAACAAGTGTTGGTAAAACAACCTGGAAAATGTTAATATAGGTATAAATTAACTTTTCTTCAAGGTAGGTCTGAAAGATCAAGACAAAGTTTTATGAATTAACAGGTAAATAAGTTAGAAGATCTTTTAGGGTTTTAAAATCAGTTATAATGGGCTATCAGCAATTGTTTTGTAAAATGGACATCTGTAGGTAAGATTTTTATTAATGCCTCCTTAACTGAAAAGACCAAAATGTGTAGAAGACTCAAAATTTTAGAAAACATATATACAGGGCTGGGGATATACCTCATTTGGTAGAGTGCCTGCATAAGGCCCTGGGTTCAATCCCAAGCACCACAAAAACAAAACAAAACATTATATACATACATACACACACACACACACACACACACACACACACCCCTATCCCTTGAGTACACATTCTTTATTGCTGTTTAATTAGGCTGTACACATTCTGTAAGTTTATTTTATGTAACTATTAAATTATGTCATTCCCAGGATTTTCCTTTTTGACATAGCTCCAGGAAGTTTGGTGATAAAGAATAAAATATAGAGTTCCCAAAAATCTACCTTGTACATTAAGTGTACTAACCTGGAAAGGTAATTTTAGCATCTGATCTCTGCTGTATCAGAAGCTTATTTTCACTGTTAAATAAGAACACACTAAAAGCACGATGTAATAATCCTGAAAGCAAAAGAAATACCGTTAGTCAAAAAATRCCAATTATTTGCCCAATTATCTCCTTGCAATTCAGAATACTACTAGCAACTTGCTACCATTTTTGCTTTTTTCCCCATAATCTTCTACCTTTGAATAATCTTTGATGGAGAAGAGTTCTGGCATACCAGCAAGGAAGTTAGCTGSCAAGTGAAAGAAATAGTGATCTTGGCAGCTTTGCTACAGGCCAAATGTTTTTTCAGAGAGATTCAGCTTAGGCCATTAGTCTTTTGTTATTGGGGGAGTTGTGAAGACACATGCACCTCTTTACAATACCTGCCTCTCTCTATTCATTAGAAAGAAAGGTTTAAAGGCTCCACAGGTATAAATTAGTCTATTCCCAGTTTTACACGAAACCAGTATAGGCATAGTAAAAGACATGAAGTGGAAATAGCTATTAACCAAGGAAGGCAGAAAGGCAGATTTTTATTACATCACATAACTGGAATCAAACATAAGATACAGGATTAAGAATTGCAACTCCTAGGGCTAGGAATATATCTCAGTGGTGCAGCACTCCCCTGGCCCTTCCCCTCCACCACGAAAGAAAGAATGAATCTCCTTTACCAGAGTACTTTTCTCAGCTAACCTGAAATGCCTAGATTAAATCACTTTATAACTAAGAATATTTTTAAATAATACCTTTGTCAATGTTTTCATTCAAGTGGCAATTCTTCTTGGTGTCAGCCCCAATTTTATTATCATTTTCATCAATAAGAATACACATCTCTGCAAGGAGTTGGACTTGTTTCTCATCTAGATGATTGGTCTTTACTTCAGGCATTGTTACAAATTGTCTGATCTGTCCTAAAACACTAATATTAAGAGAAAGAAGTCCATTATATCATATTTATCTGAATGTCACAGAACCCTAGTGAAGGAGCAGTTCTAGATCTGAGCCCAATAATGAATTCGGCCATTTCACGGATTATCAATGATGACTCCAATCTGCAGCCTCAACACTCTTCATATCCACTGGGCTCCTGCAGGAATGCTGCTGGCCCACTGGTCAGCCCTATTTTGACCATCATTTTTCCTACCGACAATCACAGCTGATCACTTACCACAATCACTCTCTTAACTGCCAACTCAACGTCCTACTCCAATGCTTTTTCTTCCTTTTTTTTTTTTTTTGGTGCTGGGGATTGAACCCAGGGCCTTGTGCATGAGAAACAAGCGTTCTACCAACTAAGCTATATCCCAGCCTTCTACTCCAATTCTTGACTTGAGATTCTGAAGCACTTCATAGACAGTCTTTCTTCCTTTGTATGACCCTCTTCCTAAGGWGTCTTGTTCATCTATGATGCAGCCCCAACCTATTTTTTTTTTTTTTTTACAATGACTTCTGGATTCCCTGTTCCAGAGTCAAATATTTTTGCCATTCCCTGCCTCTACAAAGCTGCCCAAGAATGCTGCATACCAATGTTTGCTGAATTCACTTTTCAATGCTAAACATTCCAAAACTTTTTACCAATGTCCCAGTGAGATTTAATTCAGTCTTTKTCAATCTGAGCTCCTAATTAGTAAAATAATTTGTGTGACTGTTTCAATAATTCTTCCACAGCTAATTTCATTCTAAATAGGCAAAATTTAATAATATTCAATGGATGTCATTGCAGTGCTTGGCACTTTTTTTCTATAATGGGCCAGACATTATCAACTCTGTTTTTGTAGACTAAGCAATGCAATAACTATGTAATGCCCCAAACACACATAACGTGTACACTAAGAGTGGTTGTGTTCCAATCAACCCATTTACGGACATTGATATCTGAATTGCACTTAAATTTCGTGTTCCAAAATATTTTCTTTTGATTCTTCTTCATTTAAAAATGAGAACATTTGAGCTCATGGGACATAACAAAAACTGGCAGCAGGCCAGATTTTGCCCTTAGGCAATCCAGACTCATTTAGGGTACTGTAAATCACCCGCATATAGGGTACTGTAAATCACCCGCATATGATTGTTAAATGAGACCAGGATGCTCCCACTGAACAACTCTTCTCTCCTTAAACCAGTTATTAAAGCGCTTTCTACACTTTCCTGCAAAGTCTAAAATGCCTAAAGCTAGAAGAACTTGTTCCATAATTTCTGATACACACAGACTCTCTCCTTTAAAACAGGCACACGGACACCAAGGCACAAAACCTGCAAGCCCGCCCTCCAACTGGAGGAGCAAGGCTGGACTGACCTCCTCTTGCCAGGGCAGACAAGTGAAGGCGCCCACGCTGCAGTAACCCAGGGGTTCAGGCCGGTTCCGCAGGGGAAGCCGGACTTCCCGTACCAGCCCGGGCATTTCTCTAACCATCTCCCCCGCAGCTCAGGGAGCCCAGGCGGAGTCCGCAGCCGCGGCGCGGGGGCCACCAGACCCTGCCCAGTCCCTCCCGGTCCACGAGCCCACCGCCGCCCCCGTCGACGTCTACTCCCACGGCGGGCAGTGCTGCCTGCCTCAGAACCCACCAGCCTGCAGCGGGGCACCCGGGGCCCAGGGAGAGTGGGCGCCGCTGCTGCCGCGGTGACCCAAGTTCCGCGTCTCGCAGAGTCCCCACGCCCCGTCCTGTGCTCCCAGTCCATCTCCCAACCTCCCACCCATCCCCGCGTACCTCAGGCCAGAGATGCGAGCCGGCCCAGGAGCGCGTCCCTTTTGAGCCCGGAGAGCCGAGCTCCCCGCTCCCTGGCTCCGCCCCCGAGCCGCGAGCCCAACCACTTGCACCAGCGCCCTCCCACACCACATGCTCTGGCCAATCGCAGCTCGCGCCCGCCTGACGTCACGGCCGCGCTAGGCTGTCGAGCGGTGGTGCCACTTCTCCTGATCGCGGTTCCCGGAGACGCGCCGGAGCCTTCGGGGAGCGTGGGGACCCCTTCTCGGAGAGCCTGAGGTCATACGGACCCCGGAGGGAGGCTGAGGTGGTCACTGGACCCTGCAACGCCGGGAGAAGCCCCGCAAGCGGGCAAGCGCCTGGCTGCCACTCGCCCGCCGACTGCCTGCCAATTGTGCCCCAGATAAAGCCCGGCGGCGGGAGGCGGGGGAAAGGGCGTGGCCGGGGCGCTGCTGGGGTACTTGCTGACGTCAGGTGCCTCGGAGCTCGCCACCGAGTCCTGCCGCTGCTTGCTCCTACCTGGAGAGGATGCGCGGAGCGTGGGCGTCCCCAGTGGGCGTGCGGCATGCAATCCGCGGGTGTTGTAAGACGCTTGCGGAGGGCGGCAGGGGACTTCCGCCCGGCTAGGTTGATGGAAGTCAGGGAAAACCCAGGAGTCACCATTCAGGGTCCGTTGAGAAGACTCACCTCCCGCCCCATAAGTGACCAGTTTGGAATCGTTGAAGAATTTTTCTCCACTGTTTTACATGATATTTCCTAGATACTCTGCAACTCAAGAACAATTGTTTAGCAAAGCTGAGGGACGGAGAGGCAGGTTGGGGTACGTTCTACACTGGGTAGGATTAATTTGGCACCCTATTAAGC